CTCTGGCTTCTGTAATTGCATCAAGTAGGTTATGATGACTTCACAGGGTTTTATTACGTTTCACATAATTGGAGAGGCGGAGATGTTGGAAATGTTCTGGAAATTGGCTTTAACCCTAAAAGTACCGGTAATAAATGTCAATTTCTAAACACTTTTCTTTGTTCTGAAATTGTCAAACAACTAGTTCCTGACCAAAAAACACAATTTACCATGATTTCTGTGTTAATATGGAGGACTGAAAAATAATCTATCTTTTGTATACTAGTGGTGGGTGGCTAAGCTGAAAATGTGGACTCAATCGTAGACTTTGTGATAAAAGCACACAATTTGGCACAGAGGTAGAGTGCCTTCAGAAAGATTTCATCCCCTTGACTTAATTCCACATTTTGTTGTGTTACAGCCTGAATTCAAAATTGATTAAATATATGTTTTTTTCTCACCCATCTACACACAATACCCCATAACGACGAAGTGAAAACATGTTTTCATATTTTTATATTGAAAATTAAATACAGAAATATCTAATTTACATAAGTAGTCACACCCCTGAGTCAATACAAGTTAGTATCACCTTTGGCAGTGATTACTGCTGTGAGTCTTTCTGGGTAAGTCTCTAAGAGCTTTGCACACCTGGATTGTACAATATGCCCATTATTATTTTCTAAATTCTTCATGCACTGTCAAATTGGTTGTTGATCATTGCTAGACAACCATTTTCATGTCTTGCCATAGATTTTCAAGCAGATTTAAGTAAAAACTGTAACTCGGCCACTCAGGAACATTCACTGTCTTCTTGGTAAGCAACTCCAGTGTAAATTTGGCCTTGTGTTTTAGATTATTGTCCTGCTGAAAGGTGAATTAATCTCCTAGTGTCTGGTGGAAAGCAGAACCAGGTTTCCCTTTAGGATTTTGCCTGTGCTTAGCTCCATTCCGTTTATTTTTTTATCCTGAAAACTCCCCAGTCCTTAATGACTACAAGCATACCCATAACATGATGCAGCCACCACCATGCTTGAAAATATGGAGAGTGGTACACAGTAATGTGTTGTATTTGATTTGCCCCAAACATAACACTTTGTATTCAGGACAAAAAGTTAATTGCTCTGCCATTTTTTTTTGCAGTATTACTTTAGTGCTTTGTTGCAAACGGGATGCATGTGTTGGAATATATTTATTCTGTACAGGCTTCCTTCTTTTCACTCTGTCAATTAGGTTAGTGTTGTGGAGTAAGAACAATGTTGTTGATCCATCCTCAGTTTTCTCCTATCACAGCCATTGAACACTAACTCCGGCAACTGAGTTAGGAAAGACACCTGTAACTTTGTCGTGACTGGGTGTATTGATACACCATCCAAAGTGTAATTAATAACTTCACCATGCTCAAATGGATATTCAATATCTGTTTTTTACCCATCTACTTATAGGTGCCCTTCTTTGCGAGGCATATTAAAACCTCCCTGGTCTTTGTGGTTGAATCTATGTTTGAAATTCACTGCTCGACTGTGGGACCTTACAGATAATTGTATGTGTGGGGTACAGAGATGAGGTAGCCATTCAAAAATCATGTTAAACACTATTATTGCATGCAGAGTGAGTCCATGCAATTTATTATGTGACTTGTTAAGCAAATCTTTACTCCTGAACTTATTTAGGCTTGCCACAACAAAACATAATTCCACTTTGACATTATGGGGTATTGTGTGTAGACCAGTGACATTTTTTTAAATCCATTAAAAATTCAGGCTGTAACACAACAAAATGTAGAAAAAGTCAAGGGGTGTGAATACTTTCTAAAGGCACTGTATGTACCCTGAAAATATATAGATATGGAGCCACCCATATATTTGGCCCCTGGCAGCCACTTAACTTAAACTTAAAAATTACTAAAAAAATGCATAAATACATATTTAGCTTCCAGTCAACATCTCTATACCAAGTCGAGAGTCATCTTGCAGAGGCAATTGTAACTGAATTGATAGCCCGTAGCGTTCCAAAGTTGGAGCTCAAAGGCTGATGGCACCGGCGCCAATATCACCTATATCACCCATATCGCCAGATTAGCTCAATCGCCAATTTCACAGCCACTGAGTATCACAGAAACATAACATGTGAATGAATAACAGACATGCTGTATTTTCATAACAAGTGGTACTAAGGATCTGGCGCCGTCGAGGATGGCGGCCTCGCGACTAGCTCTTAGGAGCACTACTCATCTCATATATATATATATATACTGTATTCTATTCTAAAATATTCTACTGTCTCTTAGTCCATGCCGCTCTGTCATTGCTTGTCCATATATGTATATATTCTTAAATTCCATTCCTTACTAGATTTGTGTGTACTACACCCGCAATAACATCTGCTAAACACGTGTATGTGACAAATAACATTTGATTTGAAGTGGCTCTGGATGAAATTGATAAATACCTGTTCAAAACATGAAAAACATACTAAAGTGTATTTTTTTTTACATAAAAAAAAAACTATAAATAAATGTTTGAAAATGTTGAAATATATGATTATTTTTGTGAATTTCAACCATTTGCTACTTGCAAGACAGTGTCTCTTTGCAATCGTTACCAATTTAGTGTAAAAATGACCCCTGTTGGTGCTTTTAAGCAAAACATATTTTGGCACTTTTAGGGTTAATGTGAGGGAAAGCAGTTCCATCTTAACAATGGTAAAGAAAGACAAAGTGCTTTCAACTGAACTCCTCCAATGTAAACAAACTCCTCTTGTATATGATGCTCGTTTGTAGGATGACAAAAGGTTAATCACACTTTGAAACTGTGAGATTACAACAGACATGACTAAGCAGGATGAGTAGATTCTGTGGACTTCATGAAATTATCACAAGTGCCATTGTCTCTGAGAGGGAGGGATATCTGGGCTAAGTTCTTGTCAAGTTCTGAGTCAGTTCTGTGTCGTAATGGGATGAAAATGAAAAGAAAACAATGAGAAACGGAAAAGCACAGACGAACATTACAGATGTTGTTCTGACCTAGAAACCATTCTCGAAAAGCTGACACTCAAATGTCGGCAATTTCCTCCTCCGTTGTCGCCAAAATAGCAACAGCCTCCTCCAAAAGACAGCTAATCAGCGATTCAGGAGAAGGAGCCTTTTATCGTCTAATCATCCATCGGTAGCAGGGGGAGCTTAATTGTATTTTTTTCACAGCTGGTGAATTTCTGATTGCGTCCCAAATGGAACCATATTCCCTATGTAGTGCATTACTTTTGACCAGGGCCCTAGTAGGGCGCTATATAGGGGATATGATGCCATTTGGCGCTCTAACCCCTCGCAACATACACATTTTATCCAAATTTCCCCTACAGCATGGTGCTTTGATTCCAGAACCCATTTGCCACACAATCATTGGGAGCCTGCATATGTCAAGAGTATTCTCTGTTACACCATACCTCTCATAACCTAATGGGGTTACAATCCACACAGCTGTTTATCACATCATATACAGGCCTCTATCTCGACAATAGAAAGACATGCACACAGATACACACTGCACACATATCATAATACAATAATACATTGCCAATGGGGTGCAGCGGGGTTGTATATATCTCATATGATTTGTGAGGACTCTGTAGTGTGAGGACTCAGCAGTGCCATGCAGTGAGAAGTGAAGAGGCTACATACAGAGACCATCAATTGGCCCATTGGGTTGTGTATGGCTTATCAAAACTATATAGGATAGAAGGTCAAACGCATATGCAAAGCAGGAGTGCTACTAAGGAAAATAACACACACACAGAAATACATAGATCAGTGGTCACCAACCGGTCATTCGCTTCAAGGCATTCCTAGTCGACCACCAAACATTTCTGCAGAAAAGCCAACAATAAAGCCTTATGCTCCTATTACCACTGTTGGCGGTAGGTGCACTTGATTCAGAAGCCCTGCGTGCCGGGTAAGCAATATATTCCCATTTTGAACCATTTCATTTGTCTGAAGGGACAAACTCCGCCTACCCGGCAGGCCAGGAGAGTTGTGGCTAAATCAAGTGTGCCTGCTGCACTTGCCAATCGGATAGCTCAAATCACCATGCCTATAGCTTCCAGGAAGTTGCATAGACGTACATGTTTAAGTCATAAAAAAAAAAACGCTAGATCTCGGGCATGCTTTTTGACTGTGAAAGTGATCTTGACTCAGAAAAGGTTGGTGACCACTGACATAGACACGCAAACAAAGACGAATGCACACACGCAGACACACACAGAGACACACGCACACACACACACTTGAAGAGACACAGACAGAGACAAAGGCAAAGACAGTCAACAGCGTAACATGCACTCCACAGAGATGCACCAGACTAGAGAGATAGGTGGTGGGGGGAGGAAGAAATCACAACATTCCACCACGGTAGGCCAGGGCACACAAAGGCAAGAATCCATTAAAGGAAAGTATTTGGGGGTGTTTGCGCTTTGTGCAACGGTTGACTTTTACCAGACGAATGCCCTGGCTGGAAAAGAAAGAGTGAGGGATGGAGCATGACGTTTGTGGCGAATGACGAAAGGCAATTATAGCCCTTGTGTTGCTGACAAAGCGCTTCCTAAAAAGTGCCACGAGACAGGATGTGACGTCACGCTCTATCAGCATAGGCCTACAGGAGTAGGAGATCTACAATAAAAGGGCTGGTCTACTTCACAGAAACCAGACTGAGCTTGAGTCACTGAGTTAACAAAGCAGGAGGGAAGCTAAAGAGCACTACTTTCAAGTCTGAGGTGCGTCCAAAATTCAACCCTATTACCTAGTGCACTACATTTGGCCAGATCTCTATGAGGCCTATATTCATTCCTGTTATTGAGATAATCAATCTACCTCTCTGTAACCTAATCCAATCATTCAAATCAATCTAATCAGTCTGTAACCACGTCAAGTTGATATCACCACTGAAACAAGATAACACTATGTAACCTAATTGACTGTAGTCACAGAAATCATCAGAGAAGTTATAGATTAGTGTAGGAGTCTGTCAGAGAGTACACCAGCTCTGGTTCAGTAGGTGAGGGAAGAAGCCAGATGAGTTACACAGCCAGGAGTGGAGGCGGTGCAGTACAGGGCAGCATAGAAGCAGGTACAGGGTTAAACTACAGACACAGCATTGGTTGTGTTACCATGGTTAGCACCTGGCCACCGAGAGGCAGGACTGGATGGACTTTGATCACCTGCAACATTGACGAAATAAACAGAAGAAAAAGAAAGGGAGGACAAAGAAAGGGGGAAGAGAAAGAGAAAGAGAGAAAGATATCAGACGAGTCATTTCAGGAGTTTGGCACCAATTATCCACTCTGAAAAGTCTTGGTGTTGGCACAATACACACAGCAGTACAGTACAAACTGTCTCATTCACACAGAGAGAGAAGACACTTGAGAAGAAAAAGAGATTGGGTTGGTTTGGAATCATGTCATGTGTATCTCCCATGTTGTCAGTCTTGGTGAACCATGTTAGAGTTGGAGAGATATTGTAGACGGAGGGCAGGTGAATCAGAAGAGTGTGTGTGTGTGGGTGTGTGTGTGTGTGTGTGTGTGTGTGTGTGTGTGTGTGTGTGTGTGTTTTTCTCCACATGGCTGGCTGTCTTCCAGCGAGTTCAGAGTGTGAGCCAAGCTAGGAAGAGCAGGACTCAGGAGTATGTGTTGTGAGTTGTGACACCCTGTTTCATTAGCCTGGTCTTTTTGGACAAACCTTGACAATGGACCTGTTAGGGAGAAGTGATTTGCCAAGATAAGAAAGATGAGAAATGAACAGGTCATTTCACATAGTGACAGTTAATTTAGGACAATTATTTCTGTCATGGTGTGCATATGCTGGTATATTTGTTGTTGAGGTTGTTGGTATAACACTGAATGAGTGCTCCATAGGAGTTGTCAACTTCCTGCCTGAAATAGGCTTTTAACTATAGGCCCTTCCATAAATAACTCCTAACGCCATACCACCAAGGCACTTGTATAGATTTGAGAGGTCTGTATAGATTTCACCAATTTCACAAATTATACCTAGCATATCAGAGGGAAAAAGGGAGCTACTACCATATTCAGTGCCTAGGTTCAGGGCCTAAACCACTGTGCATACTCACTCCCTCTGTTCATACTAAGCTATGCTAACCTAACCCTAATGAGGCCTAATGAGCCGATAACAGCTTAGCGATTAGCATGGAGCAGGGAGTCTGCACCAGGAATATCACAGTATCTCCTCATCCACCACAGAGATGGAGCAGCACCTGTGGAACCTCTAGCCCCTCTATACAGACAGGGCTCTGTCTCTCCACCTGCATATCAATGTAACCTGGCACCTCTACCAGGTGGCACCTTACCACCCCCCTGGGCACAGGCCATTCATCATGGCAGGATGGAATATGTTAACATTAGGATTATGCTAAATCACCTCTAGCCGATAGCCCCCACTCGCATCCCATTTCTATTGTAATCAGTGCCTTATGAATGACGATGTGTAATGAAGTGCACAGGGATGGTACACATATGTGCACAGAAGCACATGAGCGTACAGACATGTGTCTTCCCTCTGCATATAACCGACTTGGTCCCGCAACACTCCTTTCATATTAAGGACAATGGTTGAGACTGAGTGTGTTGATGGAATCAGGTTATACGTAACGTTTAAAGAGGTATGGCAGTTACTCTGTGGCCGTGCAGGACACAGATGGTCGCCAGCGAGGGAGGAAGTGACCTCGCCAGAGGTGGGGGGGACCTTACCGTTGCGCGGGGTTCGTTTTCGGCGGTCGCGGAAGGCCGCTCCGGATTGCAAGGCTTCCATTAGGCTGTCCATCACACCTGTCTCATTCTCTCCTCCCTCTGTAGGACAAGACAGACAGAGAATATGGTTAGAGGATATACACCCACACTGAACAAAAATCACACACCCACTAAAACACACACACATGAACACACACAGGCTCTATAGCGAGATACATTTACGAATCGTCAAGTCAGACTTCTCTCTCCTTTGGTTTGGATTAGTAATTGGGAGCCAGTATACATGCAAATATTGGATCCACATAAAGTACAATACAGTAAAAGAAAGTGATAAAGTGTTTGTGTGTGTTTGCATGTGTCCATGCATGTATTTGTATGTGTGTGTGTTTGTGTGTGCCTTTACACACTTGCATATGTTGTAGAAATAATTAAATGTCAGAGGAGCAGTCAAGTGTCTCAGAGGGAGTTTTATGACCCTGAGCCTCGCCCCGCTCCACTAGTCCTCTCAACGACCTACTCCTCCAGATGCACTACAGCTATACACACAGGCCTACATCACTGTGGTCTAACCCCTCCTCAATCCTCCCTTCTTTTTTCCTTCCTTTCCCTATGGTGACACTTGACTTGTGTCTCTCCTTCCCTTCCTAGTTATTCCAGGGATATAGGACACACACACACACACACACACACACACACACACACACACACACACACACACACACACACACACACACACACACACACACAAACACACAGTCAGGTACTGTACATTGTTGGGGAGAGGGAAACTAATCATGATGTGTGAAGTTAGCAAATCCGGCAGAGAACCAGGGCCTTGTTATCCCCCTAATTAAAACATGTGATAGTGAACCCTAGTAAATACATTACAGAGACAGAGAGAGAGCCAGCAGTCCGGGATCCAGGGCTTACTGTTACATTTGGCAAGAGCCCCAGGGCCCAGGTGGCACCTGATACCATTGGGACAGAGGAAGGGATGAGGGTATGAAGGGAGAGAGGGATGGATGGAGAGAGGGAGGGTGGGAGGGAGGGAGGGAGGGAGGACAGGTACACTGGCTTGATGAGGTGTTACATTGCTGGGGAGAGTTTTGTCGATTTCTCCGGTTTTAGCCCATCTTAACCCATTTTGGAAAGGCCATTTCCTGCGAGCGGGGTATCTCTTCTTCTCAAGACAGACCCTCCTGCATAAAGGTGAGCTTTTCTGTAGTTCCCTGGCGCACAATCGATGAGACTCGCTAATTGAGAAAACAGCAGAATATACTTGCCCTGGGTTTAAACAGCTCAAAATAAGAGAGGCTGCGCTAGAACAAGAATACAGCTAGCAACGGCCGTCTTCTAAATGGGCTATGTGTCAGATCAAGATAAATTTGCTGTGGGGATTTAGACGTAAGGGATTCTCAAATAATCCAAAATGCATGAGTTTTTAATTTTCATTTCTGTTTAAACATTTTATTGAATGTGTCGAGAGGAACCGTTAAGAGATTTTCAGAAGCCACGGCCTCATCTTTGAGTTCTGAGCTTCCGGCATCAGAGCCGAGGTCTGGCTGGCTGTGGTGGAACGTCGGGTCCAATAGGACATTGTTAATGGAGCGCTACCAGGTCACAGGGGAGCATGTTTCCCATTTTAGTCATTTTGCTTCTTTGTGTCTGCGATCCTCCGTCTTGAACCAAGTCTACCCAGCCTAGCTCCCAAGCCTTGGTCATTACAGATGATGAATTGGGCTACAGTTAAGCGAGAACTAGGACAAATTGATCAAAGTTGTCAGGGGCCCCGTGTGATGTCTAGGTCTCTGAGTAGAAGGAAACTGAAGCAAGGGCTGTCCAAAAGTTTTCCAGGAGCCAAGGTGCAGTAAATAAATGTTTACCTGCCCGGACTTAATGCGTTGCATTCGTGTCGAGGTCCTGGTTAGCCTAGATATGGAAAAACATTAACAAAGTGAGAGCCAGTGCTGTTCTCGGAGTCATAGCTGTTAGATACAGATTGGCCATCTTGTTGATACAGGGCAAAGCAGGTGAAATGCATGTCCCGCTTTAAACCAATTAGCAAGACTATCAAAGGTGTAGCCGAGCCAATTTGAAGATAAGCACTAGCTTCTTGGACTTTGCTTTGGTTTGTTCTGTTCTGTTCCAAGACAGTCTAATTAAGCTTGATTTAATCTAGGTTGGTTTTAAACACAGCACACGGAAAGAGAGAACAGACACTTTGGTTTTCAAAGTAGCCCTTGGGAAGGGCCTCAGGAAGAGGGAATGAGACAAGCAAGTCAAGAAAATAAATTAGCGCAAATTAAGAGTTTGTTTGTGGCAAATTTACGTAAGATGCGTTTCTTTTTTCAATCTTTTTTTTTTTGTGTAAATCATTTCTCGTTGGGAGGTTGTGTTGCTTGAATAAGGAAAGAAAGTTAAAACTGTCCGTCTAGCTTCTCTCTGGTAATGGCGGAATATGTGCCATTTCCTCAAATTAATTTTGTCCCCGTGTCAACTTGTTCGGTTTCTAACTTAAATTCGCCGGACAAAGCCCCGGACCTTCTCGCCATAAACATTACCCACAAGCAAGTTCAGCCATGCATGCAAACGATGGATGGCATAGTCACCTTAATGATCCCAGTTTCAAATAATGTATGTTCTGGACCACAATGATGAAGAGAGGGCCCACTGACTCATTAGTATGGGGGTAAAGATAGATGACCCAGATATATGACCAAATGCGTCATCTTCTCTGAATCCTTCCGTCTGAGCCATGTGCTGTACTGTGCTGTGTGCACTGCAATGCACTGCACACACTGTGCTATTATGTGTAGAGACAGAGACAGTGGCCTATCCTAGAACTCCCTCTTCTCCTCCCCTCCTGTGGTAGCACAGTGTGGCCACGGATGTACTAAAGCCGTTTGACGGTTGGAATGTTTTCCAAAGGCAGGTCCCAGTGTCATCGACGGAACAATGATGGAGCGGCCCGTTATTGACCGGCTCCGCACTAAATCTTGGTAAAGAGCACTTAGCTCCCCTATGTTAGCCACAGAAAGAATATCTTTCAATGGTCATCAGTGGAGGCTTTCATCCACTGGCGTCCTCTGCCTGCATTAGCCGCTGAAGTGATTCTGACTGTGTTTCAAATGGCAACCTATTCCCTATATAGTGCACTACTTTTAAAAAGGGTCTATAGGGCTCTGATCAAAAGTAGTGCACTACATTGGCAATAGGGTGCCGTTTGGGATGCACCCTTGTGCTTTGGAGATTCCCCCCACCCCGTCCGAAGCCATTCAGCTGGAGACAGGGGAGACGTGACGTGACAGGCCCCGGGTCTAATGCACTGTTTAATAGTCCCATCTACCTTATGTGTCTTGATTAGGGGAGAGTCTCCCATTGCAGTGATGTAAGGCGGTTGTTAAAACGCTGCCTGTGTAGAGGAAGAGGGCGTTCTGTTGCTTACACAGTGGAAAATTCAATTCACACAACTGTGTGTGTGTGTGTGTGTGTGTGTGTGTGTGTGTGTTAGTGTGCATGTGTCTTTGTGCCTATGAGGGGTGTGTGTGCTTGCGTGGCGTGCACATGTGCATGTTATGTGTGTGCCCCAGCACAGACTGGTGTCAGCCATGCAGTGTGACCTATGGCCGTGGCTGCTCTTGGCCAGTTCAGCTAGAGGATAAACTAGAGAGCCAGCCAGACCCCTCTAATACCTAACACATCACACAAACCTCCACAGTATAGCTCTATGCTAGTTCATTTACTGTCAGTATACTTCTATCAAATACAAATATAACATTTGACTGTATACCAATACACCTCTTCAAGTTAATCAAATACAAGGATTGGCATGTGGATGCAAGACAAAAAATTCAATGCATATCTGTTAACTTCTTCTGAATCCCAAATGGCACCCTGTGCCCCCCTATGGGGGCTTTGGTCAAAAGCAGGGCACCATATAAGGAATAGGGTGGCAATTGAGACGCAGACCCCATCCTCTTGCCAAGGAAAACGGAGGCAGTCTGGTTTCAATCTGTATTCGTCGCCATGCTCTCCTTCTTAAACACCAAAGGAATGGCATTCTTATCATTATGCAGCAGTGTCAACACAAGCTGTTCATAAATTCAATTTGCTATCTGTCATCTCCCTCTATGTTGGGGGGAAGAAATACAGAGGGATCGATGGAGAACTACATTTCTGATGGCTCGCATGCAGTCGCCGACAGCTCTAGAGGGAAGGGACCAAAACTGATGAAAACTAGCAGAGTTTAAGCAGAGAGTTTCTGTCTGGTCTGAGAAGCTGTACATAATACACATATGGTCCCAAATGGCACACTATTCCCTATTTAGTGCACTACTTTTGACCAGGGCCCATAGGAGCCAAATTCTTCAATAAAGTATTCAGAACCCTTGACTTTTTCCAAATTCTGTTACATTACAGCCTTATTCTAAAATGGATTAAATCAGACATTTTACTCATCAATCTACACACAATACCCCATAATGACAAAGCGAAAACAGGTTTGTAGAAATCTTTGCAAATGTATAATTTAAAAAAACCGGAAATACCTTATTTACATAAGTATTCCAACCCTTTGCTATGAGACTCGATATTGAGCTCAGGTGCATCCTGTTTCCATTGATCATCCTTGAGATGTTTCTACAACTTGATTGGAGTCCATCTGTGGTAAATTAAATTGATTGGACATTATTTGGAAAGGCACACACCTGTCTATATAAGGTCCCACAGTTGACAGTGCAGGTCAGAGCAGAAACCAAGCCATGAGGTCGAAGGAATTGTCCAATGAGCTCCGAGACAAGATTGTGTTGAGGCACAGATCTGGGGAAGGGTACCAAAACATTTCAGCAGCATTGAGGGTCCTCTAGCACACAGTGGCCTCCATCATTCTTAAATGGAAGAAGTTTGGAACCACCAAGACTCTTCCTAGAGCTGGCCGCCCGGCCAAAATGAGCAATCGGGGGAGAAAGGCCTTGGTCAGGGAGGTGACCAAGAACCCGATGGTCACTCTGACAGAGCTCGTGAGTTCCTCTGTGGAGATAGGAGAACCTTCCAGAAGGACAACCATCTCTGCAGCACTCCACCAATCAGGCCTTTATGGT